ATCCTTCAAGGTAAACCCTTCGAACCTACTCACCCGCTAGGCAATTCCAACGCCTAGGCTAAAGAGGCCTCGTTACACTTTAACCACCATCCTTACAAGAAGGAAGGAAGACTCAAGACCGAAGTCAAGATCAATCAGTAAAGTATCACCCCGTCCTATCTAACTTAGACAGGATAAGATATCAACAGTCGACATAAACGACGGCAGCAGTATCCCCCAGGAGCAACAGTAGCAGGGGAACCCTACGACCCTAGACGATATCTTTACCATAATACAAGGCATACAGGGACAAATAGCCAACCTCCAGTCACAACTAAACGATCAGATACAGGAGAATACACGCCTTCGAGCCCGCATCAACCAAGGGCAAGTTCCACAGACGGGTCCGCCAGCGCAGGAAAACACAGCCCCAGCAGCCCTACCACAGGAAGCTCAATCGATTCAACCTACGGCCGTACCCACCGCTACATCACTCCCAGCTATACCAGCTACATCCCATACTAAGGTTCCAAAGCCTAATCTCTACTATAGAGACCGGCACAAGACCCAGAACTTCCTTACTCAATTAGATAACTACCTCCACTTCTCGCGCGGACAATTCGCCGACGACGAAGAAAAAGTCCTATACGCCAGCACTTACCTACGCGGCGCAGCGGAAAAATAGTTCCGTCCAATAAAAAGAGAACGTTAGGAAAAACAGCAATAGGAATAGACCGATCGAACCCAGGAAGTCTTTAACGACTACCGAACTTTCGTCAAGTACCTTAAAGAGGCTTTTACGGACATCGACGAAACCCGCAAGGCCATAAGAACGCTTTAAACCCTAAAACAGAAGAAGTCAGTATTAGATTACACTACAGACTTCCAAAACGCGGCATACGTAGCCGGACATTACACCGACTACACGCTCAGGACGTTCTACGCCCAAGGATTAAAGGACGAAATTCAGGAAGCAATAACCTACCACGAGGAACCCGATAATCTTGCGGAAATAATTTAACTCGCTACCATATTAGACCGCCGCCGCTTACAGCGCGGCTAGGATAAGCAAGCCAACACATCTCGATCCATAAGGCCAAGACACACCTAAGAAGGAGGTAACGCCATAGAATTAGACAGCTCATCCCGGGACAACAAGGATAAAGGCAAAAAAGGAAAGAACAACCGCAAAACCTACAGCAAGTAGACCGATCAATAAAAGGAAAGGTTCAATAAGAACCTCTATATCCACTATAGTAACAAATAGGAGCCCGGGCATAGCTGCCCGCAGAATCCGCGAAACAAGGACAAAGGGAAAGAAGCCGCTGCCACCAATCAAACTACGTCAGTAGCAGCCCGAAAAGAACCTAAGCATAGAACGCTTAGTTAGACTACATATTACGACGATAATTGCCGGATCCATCAAAATAAGAAACTAGTTACAGGATGGTTCCCACGCAAGCCTAAGAAGCAAACGGCCAAGCAAGTCCGTAACGCGAATAAGTAGGAAACCCCCACCAAGGAAGAACTCTAAAGAATTATAGAGGAATTCCCAGAAGACGATCTACTAGTCAACAGCGATAACGGCGAACTCTACGAAGATACGCCGGGCTCAAGCGACCAAGGATCTAACAAAGGACAGTCAAAAAACTAGACGGCCCTATATAGCAATACACGGGACCCTTGCAGGGGCCGGAGTCTAGGTCCCTAAACCAGGTAATCAGAATAGCGAACGGAACCATACCTACCGGAACGAACCTTTGGAAACACCTTATAATTATCGCCAAAATCAATAGGAAAAGCGCTAGGATTATAATAGACAGCGGAGCAAGCGGTAACTTTATCAGTCCCGCTTTCGTCATCAAAAATCGCCTGCTACACCAAGCTAAGGACGAACCCTACGCGCTTAACACAGTTAACGGAATACCCTCCACATACGGAAAAGGATAGGTACGAATTAAAACCAACCAATCAACCCTTACTATTAGACCACACAAGGAGAAAATCAACCTAGATGTTACAACCATCGCCTCCTATAATATAATCTTAGGAATACTATAGTTAAGGACACATAAACCTTATATTCGATAGAGAACAGGAGAAATTACGTTCCCAGACGAAGATTATAACCGACACCTTATAGAAGCCCAGCGGAAAACCGAGAGCCACGCAAGCGAGAGCCCAGAGAGCTAGAGGAAGGAAAAGCCAGAGCTTAAGAGTCAGAGCTAAAGCAGCCAGAACTAGAAAAGCCAGAGCTATAAGTACTAGAGCTCCAGAGGACCGAGCGTTCAAAACGGACCGAACAGTACGCGCGCTTCCCAAAAGGATCCCTCGGAACAAAATACCGAAACCTCCGAACCAATCGAAATTAAGGAAATCTCCGCCGCAGCGCTTAAACGAATAAGACGCAGGGGAGAAAAGATCTACATAATGTATTTAAAGCCCAGTCAAGAAACGGAAAAACGAATTCTAGCACACATA